GCTTCAGTTAGCGACAGGGAGTTGACTTCTTCCAGACCTTCTCCCCCACCCCGAAGATGACCACTCTTTGGGTTCTGCTGCACGTAGCTGCTCAGCGTGACTACGAGCTGCACTCTCTTGACTTCAGCACTGCTTTCCTACAGGGCAGCCTGCACGAGGAGATCTGGCTGCGCCGCCCACCTGGCTACACTGGGTCGTTTCCTGCTGGTACCCAGTGGAGCCTCCGGCGGCCAGTCTACGGTCTTCGCCAGGCGCCCCGTGAGTGGCACGACACACTGAGGACGACTCTTGTGGCTCTTGGCTTTGCTCCTTCCACTGCTGACACGTCGCTGTTTCTACGCACCGACACCTCTCTGCCGCCGTTCTACGTCCTCGTGTACGTCGACGACTTGGTCTTTGCTACTTATGACACTGAGGGACTCGCCCATGTGAAGTTGGAGCTGCAGAAGAGACACACGTGCACAGACCTGTGTGAGCTGCGCAGCTATCTTGGCTTGCGGATCACCCGGGACAGAGCACAGCCCACCATTACTTTGACTCAGCCACACATGGTGCAGCAGGTAATTCAGCGCTTTGGCTTCACGTACTCCTCGCCACAGCCCACTCCTCTGCCTACTCGCCACTCGCTCTCAGCTCTGCCTTCGGATGAGTCCGTAGAGCCGAGTGGCCCGTATCCAGAGCTTGTGGGCTGCCTCATGTACCTGATGACCTGCACTCGACCTGACCTGGCATACCCTCTTAGCATTTTGGCACGCTATGTTGCTCCTGGGAGACACCGGAAGGAGCACATGGATGCCGCTAAGAGGGTGTTGCGCTACTTGTGCAGTACGTCGGGCATGGGGCTCTTGGTTGGAGGACGGGCTCGAGTTGTCCTCACTGGTCACCCAGACGCTTCCTGGGTTGACGACTTGGCTACGCAGCAGCCGTCACAGGGTTACACTTTCAGCCTTGGCTCCGGCTCTGTTTCTTGGGGGTCTACCCGCTCGTCTTCTGTTCTCGGCTCCAGTTGTGAGGCTGAGATCTACGCAGGGGCCATGGCTGCACAGGAGTTACGCTGGCTCACCTACCTGCTGACCGACCTGGGAGAGCTGCCTCGTTCTCCTCCAGTTCTGTACGTCGACAACAAGGCCATGCTTGCCTTGTGTCAGGAGCACAGACTGGAGCACAGAACGAAGCACATCGCTCTGCGCTACTTCCTTGCTCGAGAGTTGCAGCAGCGTGGTCAGCTTCGTCTTGCTTACGTGGCCACTCGGGCCAACACTGCTGATATCTTCACCAAGGCACTTCCGCCTTGTGATCATCAGCGTTTCTGTACTGTTTTAGGCCGTGTGCTCACTGGGCCTCACTTGCTTACTTCTTGACTCTGCTTGTACTGTGATCTCTATACATATACCTGCATGCTTACACTTGCTAGGTTGTGATCACTGTATTGTTTGTTTGCCTCTATATAACTCTGCATGTGAACTGGCCTTGTGGCCATTTGCTTGTGCTCAGAATGCGTGGTGACGTCGTGATCCACCCTGAGCTTGTGTTGCCTTTCTTGACTGGTCTTGTGACCTCTTGTTCTCCCCCACTTTGCCTATGGGGGTGTGTCAAACTTATATGACATAGTCTGTGTAGGCTGTAGTGGGGTAGTCAATATGGGGTACAACACCTTTAGGTTTTCCTACTTGTACCCACCTGCTTCCTAATTCATTCATTCCTCGTTCATTGTTTCACAGCGCACATCGACCAATGCATCACTTTGACTGGCCAAACACATTGGATGTCATTTGTACGCTCCCTACTTACGCGCGGGATCCCCCATTGGCGGCCGCCGCAAACCCTGGCCCGTGCGCGGGATTTCCCATTGGCGGCCGCCGCAAACCCTGGCCCGGGCGCGCTTCATGTATGCTTAATATCTGTACTACGGTACGTGTATCTGTGTTCTTCTGAACTTGCTACTACCCAGTCTACCGATGTTCACCATTTTATCATTCACCCTACTGCTTCCAACCCTGTTGTTACGATTTTGCCTGCTATTGCGCACACTGCTGCTGCGTGATTTTTCTTTCTTGAACCTTATTGTTGGAAAAATGTATCGTACAATACACTACGTGCATTTCTTTAAAAAGCATGTATTTATATGTATGTCACATGCGTATTCTATTATGTGTCGTTATTATGATTCTAATTACAGCATTTGGACATATCAAGACCAGGGTTGTATATTGTTGTACAACGAGTAGTGAACATGAGCCCAAGTTGAGCCTCAACGCGGGGCACAATTAGCTCATATGCGATTGAAACCATCGCCTTGCATTTGCTGTCCGAGGCGTAGCAACAAGATTTGTGACACTCGAATTTAGTTTTGCAAAAACCTATGAGACTGTGTCCTATTGTTCAAGAGACATCGAAATTACAACGTCCAACTAGAAGGTTGTATAGGGTTCGCGTGCCCCGCAAAGCGGAATCTCGCGCCGCGGCTTGGATTTCGCGCGCTCCGCAAAGTGGGAACCAGCGTCCGGCCTAGAGATTTATATGCCCCTCCCTCCGGCGATGCGAGGGGCGAGGCAAGACGGGCGCAATGTGCGAGAGAAGGGGCGGCATGGTGGTCGCGGTCACGTCACAGCTGTCAACAGGCCAATGAGGTGGACCAAATTTTCATATGTGTTTGTGTTTTTTTAGCCTTCGGCCTAGTTCTAACGCAGGCCCTATTTTATCAGGATAAATTTTCCTGATTACCCTTATTTCATGATAGTGTTGGGGTGCAAATGCTGAAGACACAGGATAACATAAAATGTAGGACTGAACTTTCAGTATTATAGCGTGTTCCTACGCCCCATATCAAGCGAACCTCGTATCAGGCTTACACTGAAAATTCCCCTAAACCCAAAATCCCTCGCTAGTTTTACCAGACAAGTCTGATATGAGGTTTCTTGATACAAGGCGTAAGTGTCAAAACACATTTCTATGTTGTTAGTTCTGCTAGGCTACAGTGAGGTGCTCAGTATAGAGTACAACCCCAATTAGGGTTTACTACTTGCATATCACTCATGCATAGTTCATTCATTTCCTGCATAGTTCTCTCAACATGGTTTCAGAGCAAGAACACGAATTTTTTAGGGCCCACCAAATCGATCCGCTCGAACCCGCCCGGAACGCCCTTGCGCTTCCCTGCCCTGCCCGTACAGCGTCGCGCTGCCCTGCTGCCACGCGCGCTGCCTGCCCTAGCGCGCTGCCTACTGCACGCGCGTTTTCTGCCCGCTAGCGCACTGCCTGTCGCCCGCGCGCGCTGCCTGCCCGCGCAAGCGCTGCCTGCCCGCGAGCGCTGCATGCGCGCACGCGCTGCCTGCCCGCGCTGCTACCCGCGCGAGCCCTCTGCCTGCGCGCGTGCTGCCTGCCCGCGAGCGCCTCTGCCTGCCAGCGCTGCTGCTGCTGCTGCTGCATACGCTGCTGCTGCTGCGCAGCTGCTGTCGACCGCGCTGCTGCACCTGAGCTGCTGCCGCCGCACGCGCTGCTGCGCTGTGCCCTGCCGAGCCGCGCCACGGTGCGCCGCCCTGTCCGAGCCGCGCCGCGCCGCGCCGCGCCGCCCTGCCTGAGCCGCACTGCCCTGCTGCTGCTGCTCCTTCCGCTGTTTCTGCTGCTGCTGCTGCTACTACTATGGCTACCGTTACAGTTCCTCGATTAGCTTTGACGTTTGGCTCGATGATCTCCAGCTGTACCTGCAGAGCGAGGCTAGGGATAGGGTTTCGTTGTTTGCACATACGTCCGGATCCCTCCTAGCCCCAGCTGATACATCGCACGCCGATCATTCGAAGTGGCTCATACGTGACGCTACTGCCCGCCTAGCTGTTCGCAACCACCTTCCAGTAGCTGAAACGGCACACTGAGGAATCAGGAAAATGGTGTACCTGTAACACTGAACGACAGCACCGAAATGCCTTATAAACAAAAAAATATCTCCCATTTCTAGTTCCGCCAGCCACGACACAAGAGGTATCGAACTTGTTACCTCTAACGTAACGGCCATCCAATTCAAACAACTAGGCTACAAAGGATCTGCACACAGATGCAGAGGTTTCTATATGTTAGTTGTGTCAGAATATAATATAGCCTTGAAAAATCAGGGAAAGCATATCAACCAGCGCTGAAGCCTCAGGATACAATATTTGTATTTTAAGGTACAGCCTTGATGGGTCAGGGTACCCTGAAACCAATCTGAGGGCATGTTCTAACACTACGTACTATTTGAATGGCATTGCTTGAACATATATGCACATACCGTATCACCCCAGATAGTAGCGCATATGCGCTTATAATAAAATAGAAAAAACTAGGGGGGGCGCTTGTAATTGAGTCTAGGGCATAAGCGCATGCGCTTATATAATAACAAATACAAAAAAAAAAAATATAGAGCATCATATTGTACATTTTATTCTTGCCATTTCAGCCGAGTCGAAAACAATTCGAGTCACCAAGCAGAATCGTGCGAAAGCGATACTCTGCCAACAAACAGAATCAAAGACACGTCATTTCAGCACATCCTGACTGGACGTGCAGCCAGCCAGGTCTTTGCGAGTCAAACATAGCGAAAATTAAATTAAACTCGCTGCAAAAGTGAAATTCGTTACCGTTTTAAACAGGATTTCTAATTAAATTGTATGGCGCTTATAATAAGCAAGGATTTTTAGGAAAGGCGCTTATAATTGAGGACCAACCATAAGCGCATGGCTCCAGATAGAAGCGCCGGCGCTACTATCCGGGGTGATATGGTAGCATAAGAGGTCATATATGGTCTACTACCTTGGTATTTACTACTGGCCAACATAAGAAATTGGGCCATGTTACATCATTATTCAGGAAGCAGGACTTTTTCGAACTCACATTTATGGTGACTGCACTGCAGTTCATGCGTTTTGACTGCTCGGATTAGGATACAGCGTTTGTGGAATGCACCTAAATGTTTTCACCTATCAATTTGAGGAGCTTAGATGTGGAGAGATCAAGCGTGTGAGCATCTACCCAGTGTGCACAGAGGTGGCATTGCGTGCATCTGTGTGTGTGTCCTCCACCTTCACATCAAAGGCCATGCCTAGTGGTGGGCTCTCATGGTCGCGCCGTGCGAGGAAGGTGCGCGCGGCGTTGTGCACCTGCCACAGGCTGAACTTCCACAGCGCAGCGCCCTTGCGGTCGCGCCAGATGGGCAGCCGCCCCAGCTCCGCCGTACCCACTGCGCCCGCCGCCACGCACGCCACGGCGCTGCGGTCAGGCTCGTAGCAGTCGGGCACCGCCACGCACCCCACCGCCACATACCCCTCCGGCGCCCTCGGCGCCCAGATGGTCACGGGCGTGCACGCCCTGCTGTCCGTGTCCCGCCACACCTGCCAGCAAGCACACGAGGGGTGGGAGGGGAAGGGGGGGGGCGTAAGTTACAGGGGAGGTGACGTGGCTGACCTTGTTTGTTGTGTAGCAGGGGGTGGAGGCAGCGTGGGGGGAAAAGGGTTGAGGCAGAGAGTGAGCATTGCACATTGCAGAGAGCGGATAGAGGAGAGCGGAGAGAGGAGAGAGGAGAGCGGAGAGCGGAGAGAGAAGAGATGGCTGACCAGATCGAAGCCGAGAGGCGGAGCGAACTTGCCGGCGCTGGTGTCGTTATAGACGGTGCTCCTCACCGGCTGGTCGTACCCCGGTGTTGCCACGTCCCCCACCGACACATACCTGCCGTGGCACGGCAAAGGGGGGGCAAGTTGACTTTTGATTCGACTCAAAAGTGGTGCTGCGCGCCGGCTGGTCGTACCCTGGTGTTGCCACGTCCCCCACCGACACATACCTGCCGTGGCGCAGCGCAGCAAAGGGGGCAAGGAGAAGCTTGGGGGCAGAAGGATTAGGGCAGCACCAGGCAATGTTCAGGGAGAGAGCAGAGGTAGCAAGAGGGAGGATGAGCAAGGAAGGCAGCATAGACACAACAAGTGACAAGCGACTCAAGGTTACTGTCAGAAAAGCTCAAAAAATTCTCTAGCCGCTGCTGCTCTCACTCATCCCACCGCATTCATCCCGCCGTGCTGCTCGCACTCATCCCACCATGCTGCTCGCACTGACCCCACCTGCCACCAGTGGTGCCCTCACTCACCCCGGGCGCAGGATGGGGCGCCAGATGGACACAGGGAACTTCTGGCTCCACACCGCTCCCTGCACCATGGGGGCGGGGAAGGGGGGGGTCAAGGAGGGGGGCAACTACATAAGCTCACACACATGCACGCCCTGAATGCCTCTCACCTTGTCGCACCACATCAGCTTGAATGCCTCTCACCTTGTCGCACCACATCAGCTTGAATGCCTCTCACCTTGTCCCACCACATGAGCTTGAATGCCTCTCACCTTGTCCCACCACATCAGCTTGAATGCCTCTCACCTTGTCCCACCACGTCAGCTTGAATGCCTCTCACCTTGTCCCACCACATCAGCTTGAATGCCTCTCACCTTGTCCCACCACATGAGCTTGAATGCCTCTCACCTTGTCCCACCACATCAGCTTGAATGCCTCTCACCTTGTCCCACCACATCAGCTTGAATGCCTCTCACCTTGTCCCACCACATCAGCTTGATTGTCCCACCACATCAGCTTGATTGTCCCACCACATCAGCTTGAATGCCTCTCACCTTGTCCCACCACATCAGCTTGAATGCCTTCACCACAATGGTAGGCGGCCCATTCTCGTCCGCCCCTGCCACGTCCCCGGAGCTGCCTCTGCCCGTCATGGCACGCGGGCGAGCGGGGCCGGAGGCAGGTGCAGCGAGGGAGGGGCGGTGGCGGGAGGAGGGGGGGGCAAGGTCACCGTGGCTGACGGCCTCCAGCGTCACCTGCCCCGCCCCGCCCACCAGCGCTCCAAACGTCGCCATCACCGGCACCACCACCGGCGCTGCTGGCCCCGCCAGCAGCCCCAGCGCTGCCCCTGATGCCGCCCCTGCCCCCGCCCCCGTGTACGGCCGACTCTCCTGCCGCCGCTTGCGCGTCTGGGAGGGCGGGAATAGGATGGGGGGGCGAGGGATTGAGAAGCTCACACCGAGTTGACTCACTGGCTATAAAATTCGGCACAGCAATGGCAACTGAGCAGGTACAGCAGTGGCACCTGAGCAGCGACAGTGGCCCGATCGGGGCCGAACTGGTCAAGGGCGTGCTGGATGGCATCTCGCACTTGCTGTGCCTGCTCTGTGCCCGCCTGGCACAGCACCACACGGGCGATCTCCTTGGCGTCCAGCAGCCGCACGTCTGCCGACCATTCCCGAAGGTGCAGCACCACCCGTGACGGCGGCGCGGAGGGTGGCTCATCACGGCCGCGCATGACCTCCAGCGACAACAGGTCGCCCCACGCCACCACCCACACGATGCTGCACGCCTCCCTCGTCAGGTCCGGCTTGCGCCCCCCCCGCCAACCCTCCACCGCCCGGTTGCTGCAGCACATGCAGGGGAGAGCAGTGGGAGGGGAGCACAACACATGTCAGACAAGAATTTTCACGGCGCACTCCCAACCCATGCACCTAACGAACACCAGCTCCCTCCGTCCTCCCTCCCGCCCCTCTCCATTTCCCCCCACACCCCCCCTCCCACCAAGCACCTCGAGCAGCATGGTGCGCTGGTGGGTGCTCATGAGGATGCGGGGCGCCGGCAGGTGGAAGTGGTCTTCATAGACATCACTGAGGGTGAACATGCCCTTCTCTCGGATGTCAAACACGCTCGCGCCCATCAGCGCGCCCCACTCCGCCAGCTGCAGGATGGTCTGCCCGCGCGCCGCGTACTCGTCGTACGGCCGCACCACGTGGTCGCCACGGATGGCACGCGGCAGGCGCCGCCGCCGCAGAGCGAGCTTGGCGGTCATGGCGGCGGAGAGGCGTGTGCGCTCCGCGTTGACGCCGTCCGTGGTCTTGCTCACCAGGTCTAGCACGCCGCTCACGGGCTGCGCCGCCGCCCCGATCAGCCCGCGCCCCATGCCCGCCACAAAGCCCTCCACGCCGCCGTCCCGCGCGCCCTCGATGGGCTTGGTGAGGATGCCCGTCACCCCGCAGAACAGCCCCTTGGCCAGCGCCTCCTCGCCCTCCCACAGCGCGTCGCCCAGCGAGCCGACAGCGGCCTTGGCGTCGTGATTGTGGCGCGCGCGGATGAAGGCGCGGTCCATGCCCATGCCCGCCACCGCCTTGCTCACCTGCCCCACCACGCTGCTCGCGTTGCCCAGCACGTCCAGCCCCGACAGCAGGCGGAACGGCTGCGCCAGCAGGTCGTTGCTCACACTGCGCCCCGCCTCCGCCCACACCTGGCTGCGCCGCAACACCACCCCCTCCCGCACACGCGGGGACAGGCGGATCTGGCCGACACAAGGTGGGGAGGCAGGGGGGATACACGTGTTGGGGTTTCATGCGAGGGAGGGTGAGTGAGAAGAGAGAGGGTACAATGAAAGGGATGGCAAGCATTGTGAAAACAAGATGGTTTGCGCGTCACTGTAGCCATGCCACCTCACCTGCATGTCGCTCCTATACTCCTATGCATGGTGTGAGGCTCACCGGCATCTCATCGGTGTTGCCCATGGAGGCTCACCGGCATCTCATCGGTGTTGCCCATGCAAGCTCACCGGCATCTCATCGGTGTTGCCCATAGAGGTGAGCACAGAGGTCCAGAAGCCCATCATGTAGCGCGGCCGGTGCAGCGGGGACATGGCCATCGTCAGCTTCAGCCACCCCTTCGAGATGTTCAGCAGCATGCCCACACACACGCATGCACAGAGAAATGGGTGGGGTGAGGCAGTGCGGACTGCAGCAAGCAGAACGGAGACCCAAATTTAAGCAGGCTTCCAGTTGGAACACCATTCCTCACTGCATGCTACAAGCCCTGCCATAATTGTTTTGGTAATTCGTCTTTCCACCAGTGTTCCAGGCAGGTCATATCAACACGTGTGACGTGAATACCCAACATGTGCACTGCTCTCACCCGACGTGCACGTGCGGGTCGAGGGAGACGGAGGTGGGTTGCGGGGGGGCGTCGAGGCGGTGGGCGGAGAGGCGCTTGACCATGTCAGCGAGACGCCAGATGATTGGCTCGTGGATGTTCACCAGCCAGGCGGCACTCGGTAACTGCCAGAGGGGGGTGGGGAGGGAGGGAGGTACCACATTCTTGGTTAATATTGGGGCTCCAACAGGCGAGAAGGGGGCATGGGAGAGGGCAAGGCGAGAGGTTAGGAAAAGAACGCAGAAGACGATGCTATGGAGGAGTGTGTGAGGTGGGGAGGCAGTACCTGCAGGCCGGTGTAAGGAAACGCTGCTCATCCTCGTCTCGCGCCGGGCGCATTGCCACAGTGAGCTTGAGCACGCATGGCTGCACCACCCCAGGTGGATCCTCAGGTGCCAGCAACACAGGCATGGCCGTCACAGCCAGCTAGTTGTCAATCTGCAGATGCCCCACCTGCAGCTTCACCCGGCTCACCCCACCCGACCCACTTCCCCCCGAGGTGCCTGGGCGTGCAGAGGAGGGAGAGGTGGAGTCGAAGGAGAGGAGGGCGCCGGTCATAGAGATGTAGAGCAGCTCCTCGGGGGTGGCGTCCACCACCGACACACCACACTCCTCCACCTCCACCACCACCACCACCTGCCGCTCCCCTCCGCACCCCGCCCCCTCTGCTGTCGCCACCGCGCTGGACCCCTCGCTCCCCACCGTGAGGGCGGGGGGAGGCGCGGTGAGGAGGGAGGATGGCGTGAGGGAGATGACGAGGTGGACAAGGGAGGGGTCGGAGGGGCGCCGGTCGTGCAGGCACACACGCATCACACACCCCCCACCCGACGGAGCGGGCTCTCTGACGACGGTTACGAGCAGCGGCGCCACGGGGCGGCGAGAGGCATTAGTGGCGGGCTCGAGCACGATGGGGTCGTCGATGGCCATGCGGCACGCCGTGGAGGAGTGCGCGCCGTCCACCATGAGCTCCTGCAGGCGCAGCCCGCGGCCATCCTCCCACGCAAATGACTTGGCCGCCCCCACCTGCAGCGCCTCCCACTCCTCGTCCCCCACTCTCGCCTGCCGGTACCGCACCAGAAATAAATGCGACCGGTTATCTATCTTGAGGAGGGAAGGGGAGACGGGCAGACGAGACGGAGGTGCAGATCGACATGAGGAGAGGAGCCGTAAGAGGGCAGAAAGGGGGTGATAATTAGTAGAAAGGGTGTCTTGGATATAGGGATATAGCCACTGATAGTTGCAATAACAGTAACTTCAACCAATCCAGCAAACTTAAACCAGGGCTACACTTCATTTTACACCTGCACTTGAACTGCGATGAGATGTAAGGCCTATGCAGGGCGGGGGGGCACTGACTTGTACGGCCCATAGGGGGGAGCGAGTGTGAAGAGGACATGGTAGCGGCACGCACTGGCGCCATCCACCACATCTGCCAGCAGCAGCTCCCACCCCCGCCGCCCACTGCCGTCCCATGCCGCCCGCCCTATGGAGGTTGGGCAGCTGGGTTGCATGGCGTGGCGCATGACAACAAAGGCATTGCCATCGCCGTGGCAGACTCGTCCCACGTGCAGTCCTCAGGCTGGCCCCAACGTGGTGCCGGCGGCGGAGCAGCGACGTACTCATCGGGGGGCTTGTTGGACTCCGGTTCAGACAACCACTCGTCGAACCTCGCTGGCAGCAGGAGATGGAGCACAGGCCGATTGCCTGTGTATGCAGTACCGGTACTTGTAACGGTATTAGGCGGATTCGGAGGAGCACGAGGAGTGGGTGGAGCAGGATGAGCACGAGGAGCACGAGGAGCAGGGGGTGCAGGTGGCGCTGGAGGCTGAGGCGGCTCAGGAGGCTCTGGAGGCTCACGGGAATACCACCGGTCGTCGGTAAGTCGCCACGCGCGTCTATGTTTTTTCTTCAAGAGGATATGGGTCCCAGTAAATTCCGCCATGGCTTCGCCTGCCAGGCGGGCTAGACTAGGAAACTGAATGAAAAAGTGAAAGTTGGGGATGCAGAAATGGGAAACAGAGGGGACCCAGTCGGGTTCGCCGCTCGGGGTCCTCGTCAATGACAGCCGGGAAACCCCTTGCCTGAACCCGCAGAGGAGGGTTCGCATGACCATACATGCTGCGTTGGCAGGGCAGATTCCACCCCCTTCCAGAGGGTTCGGGTGGATTGCAACTGCCTGGCAGCGCATGACGCTGTGATTGGGCCGCACGACAACTTTCGCGTCAGCGCTGGCAGGTGCGATGCTTCTGGACGCAAGTTTGCGGTGGGAAACCGAATCGCGGCTGGTTTCGCCTAGATTTCATGCACGATCCCACGTGAATGTTGTTCGGCTGTATTCGCCTTATTGTGGGCTTCAATTTGGTATGATTAAAATTGAATCTCATTTTCAACCTACTACCATAATACCCCGGATATAAGACCCGGGGGTATTATAAGAATCCCACCCCAAAAATGGGGGGGGGGTCTTAACAGTTGGCTACTTTTTATAAGACCCGGGTCTTATCATAAGGTCATGTATACTACTTGTGTTTTGGAAGCCATACATGTCAACACTATGTGCTTCGTTTTTAGCATTCAAAGGGAATACGCGCAATGAAATTCGTGTTTAGCATTCAAAATTAATTCACGAAATTGACATGATGATGAGTATATGTGCTTTTGTGACTGGCTGTACCCCTCGTTAATGAAAATTATATGGGATTTGGTGTGGAAAGGGGCAGAAAAGCTATCAGAATTGCATTCATTGCCAATAAAACGACTGATTTTCTAGGGGGAGGGGGGTCTTATAATGTTAGCCCCCATTTAGGGCGGTATAACAAAAACGACCTATACCCCCTCCGTATTATAAGACCCGGGGGTCTACAACTGGAGGGGGTCTTATATCCGGGGTATTACTGTCAAATGTTATTATAGGTTCTTAGGCTACAGTGAGTAGCACTCTAGGGAGTACAACACTTTTAGGGTTGCTATTTGTATCCCTTGTTTCCCTAGTTCACACATTCCGTTGTTCGCTAACTTTGAGATGGTATCATGAGTAGGTGTCGATCCTCTCGCCTAGCCTAGCTAGCGCGCCCTCCGCACCCTTGCGCCCTCCGCACCCTTGCGCCCTCCGCGCCCTCCGCGCCCTCCGCGCCCTCCGCGCCTTAGCCTCCGCGCCCTCCGCGCCATCTCCGCGCCTTAGCGCCCTCCTCCTCCGCGCGTTAGAGCCCTCAGCGCCCCTAGCCTGCGCCCCTAGCCCGACGCCCAGGCGCCCGCCCTAGCCCGTCGCCCAGGCGCCCGCCCCAGCCCGTCGCCCAGGCGCCCGCCCAGCCCGTCGCCCAGGCGCCCGCCCCAGCCCGTCGCCCAGGCGCCCGCACCAGCCCGTCGCCCAGGCGCCCGCCCCAGCCCGTCGCCCAGGCGCCCGCCCCAGCCCGTCGCCCAGGCGCCCGCCCTAGCCCGTCGCCCAGGCGCCCGCCCTAGCCCGTCGCCCAGGCCCGCGCCCTAGCCCGTCGCCCAGGCGCCCGCCCTAGCCCGTCGCCCAGGCCCGCGCCCTAGCCCGTCGCCCAGGCGCCCGCCCTAGCCCGTCGCCCAGGCGCCCGCTTTAGCCCGTCGCCCCAGCCCGCGCCCTGGCCCGTCGCCCCAGCCCCGCAGGCAGCGCGCCGCGCGGGCAGCGCGCCCCGCGGGTAGCGCGCCCCGCAGGCAGCACACCCTGCAGGCAGCGCGCCCCGGAGCGCTTTAGCGCCAGAAAATAAATAAATAAATAAAAAAATAAACCCTAAAAAAAAAAAAAAAAAAAAAAAAAAAAAAAGGGTTTCGGGTGGGGGCCTGCAACTGTCGGCCGCGTTCCTGCTTGCCGGACGACCTGCACAGTTGCCTGCATCCCGCAGCCGTCAGTACTGCAGCCCCTACTGTCGCACGTACGTTCCACTGCCAGTGGCTCTACTAGCGGCAGCCGACAGCCGCACCTACGGTCTCTAGCTCCGGCCGTTCCTACCTCCAGCCAGCCCTAGCTCGCCGTTTCTAGCTCCAGCCAGTTGTGCTCCAGCCGTTCTCGCTCCAGCCGTTCTCGCTCCTCGCTCGTAGCTCAGTTTGCTCCGTACTCCAGCCGTTCCTCGCCTAGTTTCACCTGTCGCTCCTAGCCTGCCGCTCCTGCACCCCGCTAGCTTTTATCATGGAGTCCACTAGGGTTCTCCAGCAGCAGGGACAGCAGCAGCGGCCGTTTCAGCAGTGGCTTCCGCAGCAGCAGGGGCGCCCTCAGCAGCTGTGGCGCCCTCAGCAGCCGTGGGGGCCTGGTGGTTCAGGTCGCGTTGGCTGCAGCAGCGGCCCAGCCAGCTGGGGGGCTCGTCGCGGTGGCCGCGACGTCGGCCCCTGCCAGTACCGGATCCTGACCGGCCCTGGCGCTGGCACTACCTGCTGGCGTCCTGACCACTCTGCACAGCGCTGCTACAGCCGCCTCGACGACCTTTACCGTGAGCGTTTTGGGCCTGAGTCGGCTCCCCCGATCTGGCCCGGTCTGTTTCGTAGTGGTTACCCTGTGTTTGATATGTCTATGGATGCTGTTTATTCTGTCACGTACGGATCTCTTGGCTTACGTGTACCTAGCTTAGGACCTTTGCCTGTTGCTAGTGTCGGTACTTGTGCTTTTAGTGTAGGTGCTTGTGTAGTCACTAGCCCGGCCGTGACGACTGCTGTTGCGTCGCTCTCCTTCACGCTGGACTCCGGTGCGTCTCAGTGCTTCTTCCGCGACCACACCACTGTCACACCTCTTTCGGCTCCAGTCCCAGTTGCCCTGGCTGATCCTACTTCAGGACCAGCAGTTGCTCGCAGCTCGACCACCCTCCCGTGCCCAGCTGTCCCCTCTGGTTTCCTCACTGGTCTCTACATCCCCTCGTTCTCTCGGAACTTGGTGGGTGTTGGATACCTTCAGGACCGGGGGATCACAGTCACTTTTCCTGCGCACGGGAGGACTGCGATCTGTACGGACTCTTCCACCGGGGCAGTTCTTGCCACGTTCACCAGAGAGCCCCACTCAGGTCTCTTCGTCCTGCACACTCCGCCCCCGCAGGTAGCTGCGTCTGGTCAGGTTGCTTCGTCCCCCCCGGTAGCAGAGTCCGGTCAGGTTACTGCGTCCCCACCGGTTGCTGTGTCCGGTCAGGTTGCTGTGTCCGGTCAGGTTGCTGTGTCCGGTCTAGTTGCTGCGTCTTGCTCGTGTCGGTCTTTCACCCACCGGACCGTCTTGTGGCACCACCGTCTTGGCCACGCGTCGATCCCCCGCCTCCGCACTATGGCTGGTCACCGTCTTGTCTCAGGTCTCCCTCGCGTCTTCCCGTCGCTCCCTCCCTCGCCTGCGCCGCCGTGCACTCCTTGCGTCGTCGGCCGTCTTCGTGCCACTCCGCACTCCTCCTCCCTTCGTCCGGCCACTGCTCCCTTCCAGACACTCCACTTGGATGTCTGGGGCCCTGCACCTACGCAGGGACCTGAGAGGGAGCGCTACTTTCTGGTGGTCGTCGACGACTTCTCCAGGTACACCACGGTGTTTCCTCTCACGAAGAAGTCCGAGGTGACTTCTACGCTGATCCGGTGGCTTCTAGCCACTGAGGGCACTCGTGGCCGTCGTGTCTCCTGTCTCCACTCTGACCATGGGGGTGAGTTTCGCTCAGGCATTCTTGCCGGATTCTGCGGCGAGCAGGGCATCGTACAGTCCTGGACGCTGCCAGAGTCCCCACAGCAGAATGGGGTTGCTGAGCGCCGCATTGGCTTGGTCATGGACATCGCCCGCACGTCCATGATTCATGCCCGTGCGCCCCATTTTCTGTGGCCCTACGCGGTTCGCTACGCCGCTCACCAGCTGAACCTCCAGCAGCGCGTCTCGCGGCCAGAGGCTTCACCGACCAGTCTTTGGACCGGGTCCCCTGGTGTTGGGTCAGCTTTTCGTGTCTGGGGCTGCCTTGCGCTTGTCCGCGACACCTCTGCGGACAAGCTCTCGGCTCGCGCCGTCCCCTGTGTCTTCCTTGGTTTCCCGGTAGCCTCGGCCGACTGGTCTTTTTACCACCCGCCCCTCCACCAGTTCCTAGACTCCCGTGACGTCCGGTTCGACGAGTCAGTGTCCTACTACACCCGGTACCCCTGTCGAGGTCTCCCGGTTCCCCTTCCCCCCCTTTTCCTCGCACCCTCTCTTCCCCCTGCTCCCGCTCCTCCGGTACCCCCACCCCCCCCTGGTCCTGCCCCGTCAGGTGTGTCTCACGCTACCCCTCTACCCTCGGTCGCGCGTCAGGTAGCGGCTCCCTCCCCGCAGTCCTCCTCACAGTCCCCTCAGCAGCCTTCGGTACTTCCGCGACAGGCTACTGTGGACTCAGTTGGTTTTGGAGCTGGAGGTGCAGCCACTGGCGGTACTCGGTCCGGGGGTGCTCGTTTGAGGGGTGCTGGAGTTGGAGGTGCTGGCGCAGGTGGCGCTAGCCCTGGGGGTGCTGGAGCTGGAGGTCCTGGCACTGGAGGTGCTAGTCCTGGGGGTGCTGGAGCTGGAGGTGCTGGCACTGGAGGTGCTAGTTCTGGGGGTGCTGGAGTTGGAGGTCCTGGCACTGGCGGTACTAGTTCTGGGGGTGATGGAGCTGGAGGTGCTGGCACAGGAGGTGCTGGTCCTGGGGGTGCTGGTTCTGGGGGTGCTGGTGCTGGAGGCGCTGGCACTGGAGGTGCTGGTTCTGAGGAGACTGGAGCTGGAGGCACTGGTTCTGCGGAGTCCACTCCGCCTCCCCACCGCCACGACACACGTCTCCAGGCGGCCCGTCGGCGTGAGCGTGAGGAGCAGGTGCTGTTGGAGAGGGAGCGGCAGGAGTTGCGGCAGTTGGACCTGCTGGAGCAGCAGCAGCAGCAGCAGCAGCAGCAGCAGCAGCAGCAGCAGCAGCAGCAGCAGCAGCAGCAGCAGCAGCAGCAGCAGCAGCAGCAGCCGCAGCAGCAGCAGCAGCCGCAGCAGCAGCAGACACCGCCGCCGCAGCTGCGACCACAGCAGCTCCCTCTGGAGCGGCAGTTGTTCCCACCCGTGAGTGGCCTTCGGGCCCTTGGTCTTCCCTCCTCTCCTCCTGTTCACACTCCGTCCCCTCCAGCGTTTGGTCCCACGTTTCCTCCTCCTGACGACAGTCCGGCGGTCTGGTCTTCTCCTCCACCGCAGTCTCCTCCACCTGTTGTCCTACACTCTCGTGTCCGTCCCTGTCCTCCGCGTGCTCGTCACTCGTCTCCCGTTACCGACCTCTGCACTGCCCTCCTTTGTTCGTCTCTTCGTCGTCCTCCTCCTGAGTCCGTTCTCCCGTCTCCGCCTCCGTCCTCTCTCCCTTTCCCCCCTACTCCTGTCACTGACTACTACCGAGCTGTTCGTCCTGTTGTCTCTCGTGTCCTCGCCACTCTTGTCACCGACTCTCGTTTCCCTCCGTCGTCTGTCTCGGCTCTCACTGCCGCTGTCGCTGAGTTTGCTGCCGCCAGTCGCCTTGACTACACCACCCGTGTGGTGCCAGCTCCTCCCTCCCGTCCTCTGTCCGTCGGGGGTGGGTTTGCCCTTGGCTGTGACGTCCTAGAGGACAGAGAGTCTGAGCTGGAGTACTGGGCAGCCGCTTCCCCCTCTGTCTGTGCCATGCTGCTATCCCCTGAGGGAGACCCCGACGCCCTTGACATACCGACTCCTCGCACTTACCGCGAGGCAGTGTCAGGGGCGTGGGCCTCACAGTGGAAAGCGGCTATGGCCTCGGAGTTAGCGTCTTGGAGATCTACAGGCACGTACGTCGACGCAGTTCCCCCTCCCAGGGCGAACGTAGTCGATGGCATGTGGCTCTTCAAGGTGAAGCGGCCGCCTGGATCACCGCCTGTGTTCAAGGCGCGCTACGTGGCTAGGGGTTTCAGTCAGCGTGAGGGAGTTGACTTCTTCCAGACCTTCGCCCCGACCCCGAAGATGACTACTCTTCGGGTGTTACTGCACGTAGCAGCACAGCGAGACTACGAGCTGCACTCCCTTGACTTCTCTACTGCGTTTCTCCAGGGCCGACTACACGAGGAGATCTGGCTGCGCCGCCCTCCTGGCTTCACTGACACCTTCTTACCTGGGACCCAGTGGAGCCTGAGACGGCCAGTCTACGGTCTCCGCCAGTCGCCCCGTGAGTGGCACGACACTCTTCGCTCCACGCTTCGTGACCTTGGGTTTTGTCCTTCCTCTGCCGACCCGTCGCTGTTTGTTCGCACTGGTTCCACTCCTTTCTTTATACTAGTGTACGTCGACGACTTGGTCTTTGCCACAGCAGACAGGGCAGCTCTAGCTCAAGTGAAGTCCGAACTGCAGAAGAGACACACGTGCACTGACCTAGGTGAACTGCAGCGCTACCTTGGCCTGCAGATCACCAGGGACAGAGCCGCTCGCACCATCACACTGACTCAGTCACACATGGTGCAGCAGGTCCTTCGGCGGTTCGACTTCCAGTTCTCCACCACACAGCCCACACCTCTTGCTGTTGACCACAGACTCACTGGCCCCTTTCCCGACGAGCCTTTTGAGTCCAGTGGTCCCTACGCAGAGCTGGTGGGCTGCCTCATGTACCTGATGACTTGTACTCGGCCGGACCTCGCCTTTCCCCTCAGCGTCCTCTCTCGCTTTGTTGCGACTGGGAGACACCGTCCTGTCCACTGGACAGCTGCTGTGAGGGTGGCGAAGTACCTGGCGACTACATCAGGCATGGGGCTTGTGCTTGGAGGGACTCAGCCAGTGGCGTTGACTGGTCACTGCGACTCTTCCTACGCTGACGACGTGGAGACTCAGCGCTCGACTCAGGGTTACTGCTTCAGTTTGGGTGCTGGTGCTGTGTCGTGGAGGTCTACACGGTCGTCGTCTGTGGCTACTTCCAGTGCAGAGGCAGAGATATACGCTGGTGCCATGGCGGCACAGGAGCTTCGCTGGTTGACCTTCTTGCTCGCCGACCTTGGTGAGCGGCCTCGCTCTGCACCGACCTTGTACGCTGACAACAAGGCCATGATCCTCCTTTGTCGAGAGCCTCGACTGGAGAGCAGAGTGAAGCATATTGACGTGAGGTACTTCCTTCTGCGAGAGCTACAGCGACGCGGCCAGGCACGCCTGGACTTTGTGGCCTCAGAGGCCAACACTGCAGACGTCTTCACCAAGGCCCTGGCGCTTGGTGACCACCACAGGTTCTGTGTGCAGTTGGGGCTTGTTGAGGTAGGCCCTCGGTTGCTGTAGACTTGCTGTTTGCTCTGCTTGTTGTGCTTTGCTATATATATCCTAGTGAACTCTTGAACTGGCCTTGTGGCCGCTTGCTTGTGCTCGGAATTTGTGTGGTGTCCTTGAGATCCACCCTGAGCTTGCTTTGCTTCTTGCATTGACTGGTCTTGTGACCGTTTGTTCACCCTGCTTGCTTTGATGCCCCTCACTTAGCCTATGGGGGTGTGTCAAATGTTATTATAGGTTCTTAGGCTACAGTGAGTAGCACTCTAGGGAGTACAACACTTTTAGGGTTGCTATTTGTATCCCTTGTTTCCCTAGTTCACACATTCCGTTGTTCGCTAACTTTGAGAATTACGGTACAGGCACATGCGCTAATAGTATTGATTCTCAATTATAAGCGCATCCCCCTAAAAAACACTGTTTTATTATAAGCTGTCAAAGTACTACCGGTAGATATAGAACCTCGCTACCCACATAGTATACAACACATGAAAGCGTTGTGGGCACGTATATGCAGGGGATTACGGTTATTGTGCACTATCAACTCATCTACAAGACAGCAGCAAACCCAAATATGGTACTCCTAAGATTCAGCCGAGCCTCAACCGAGCCTCAACCGAGCCTTACGTGCTCTCTTTCTAAAGCAAATTCCCGAGCCGCAGCCATCTCTTCCCGCTTCCAGACTCTTCTTGCGGCGCCTCAAGGAACGACCAAGACCCTTAGTGAGGTTCAACCGAGCCTGAACGTGAGCTCTCTTTCCAAAGCAGGCTCCTGAGGGGCAGCCATCTCTTCTCCCTTCAACTCACACCCCCCTGCTCCCACTGCCGCTGATCCCTCCACTCTCGCTCTTCCCTCTTGACCTCCCCCCTCTCCACCCCTCTCCACCCCTTCAGACCCCCTCGCTCTCCCTTGTACCCCACTCTCTCTCCGTGGCCCATCTCCCTCACCTACCCTCTCCCCTGCTCGGCTACCAGCCAGCCCACTCCTCCCCACACTCTGTCCTCTCCGTGCCAGCACCGCTGCCCCTATCTGTGGGTCAGAGCTTGTTCTCCTGTGCCTCCCCCTTCCGCCTCCCCCTCCCCCTCCCCCTCCCCCTCCCCCTCCCCCTCCCCCTCCCCCTCCCCCTCCCCCTCCCCCGCCCCTGACCCCTTCCCCCCCTCCCTCTGTTCGCAGTTGCTGCACTGCACGAGACCGAACAGCCCCCACTTTTCCCCCACCCTCGCCCGCTGCTATTCCTTCCCCTCCCACTGCCCTTCTGCCCCCTGCTGATGCTGCTGTTGCTCCCTGTCGCACTGCTGCTCCTGCGTCACCCTCCCTCCCTACCTCCCTCCCCCCGTCCCTCCCCGCGTCTCGCCCCACTGCGCGCCCCTGCCCCTCCCCCCCCTCCCTCTCTCTGCCCATCCCATGGGGTTGCCTCCAAGGTGGAGGTCTCTGCTGCTGCTGCTGCTGCTGCCCCTCTGCTGCTCCCCTGAGGTACCGGCTCCGTCTGGTAACCGCTGCTGAGTCAGCAGTGGTCGGGCGGCTGCTAGTGGACAAAGATTGCGACTTCACGAACCCAAGAAGCCGGGGATCTGCCGACCCACCCACACGCGGCAGCGAATGCGCCCTGGGTGCATGCTCAGGACTCTCCCCCCACTCCCCCTCATCCTCCTCCTCCACCTCGTCCTCCTCTCCCTCTGCCTCTGCTGCACCTTTTGCTGGTCTGCTGACCACAGCAGCAGCACCGCCAACAGAAGCACTCTTAAAGAAAACCCCTTGTGGGGCAGCCTTAAGCTCAGAGACTCGTTGGTTCTGCCTCACTCGGGACCATTCCCACTCCCACTCCCGCTCCAATCCATCATCATCCTCCTCCAATCCTCTCCCCCCTTCTGCACTTGTCACTTTCGCCCGGCTTTTCCCCTCGCTCCATGTTCCCTCCCCGTCCCTTTCCCTGCCTGCTACTCCCTGCCGGCCACCCCCAACCTTTTTTTCGGGCTGCCCGTTCGCGTGCAAAGCCGGGGGGTTCTGCTGCCCGAGCTTCGCCTGCAGCAGCTGCTGCCGTTCCCGTGCCAGCTGCAGCAGCTCCTCCTCTTCCTCCTCCTCGCTGTCACTCAAATCACTGCAGAACCCACCAGCGCCGGCAGCACCGCCAGCAATGCCAGCACCAGCAGCACCGGAAACACCAGTAGAACTGCCAGCACCACTGCCAGCACCACTGCCAGCACCACTGCCAGCATCACTGGCACTGCCCATCCCACGGTTCCTGTCCCAATCTATGCCTACAGCGCCCCTCCTCTCACTCTCCCTCCCACTCCCTCTCACTCTCCCACCTCTTCCCATCTCTTCGTCACTCGCATCCTCACTGTCACTTGCCAGCACCCGCGCCCGCTCCTCCCGCGCGCTCCACCCCTCTGCGTGCGCTGCACTCCCCGCCCCTTCCCTCCCCGCCACCCCCAACCCCCCCATCCTCACCGCTGCTTTCACAGGCGCTCCTCCCCGTGCCCGCGCGCCCGCTCCTCTCTCCGCAGCGTTTCTTATCCCCACTCCGCTCTCTCCTCCCCTTTCAATTTCAGAATCACTCAAGTCCTCTCCCTCATCCTCCTCCTCGTCCTCCTCCCCACTCAGCACCCCAGCAACCTTAAACTGCATCACAAACGGCTGCCCCATCGCCCCCCCGCTCCCCCCAACAGCCACAACGCCCCCCTCTCCCGCTTCTCCGCCAACCCCCCCTCCCCCTCGCCTTTCCCCCGCTTTCACGGGATGCCTAACCGACTGCTCGAGCCCTCGCCCCTCCCCTCGGCTGCCGTCGCTGATCGTTCCTCCCCTTGCCCCGCCCCTTCCCGCCACTCGCCCTCCCCTGTCTCCCCTCCCCTCACCAGGCAACCCCCTGCTTTTCCCCCCCGCTGATGCACCTGCACCAGCAGACCTGCCCCGCCCCTGACCCCCCTCCCCATCACCGTCACCCTCGCTATTTTCACTCTCGTCGCTGTAATCGGAATGCCTAGCCTGCCTACGGGGAGCCAGCACTGTTCCCGCCACTACCGCTTCCCCCGACGCGGAGCTGAGGGGGAGCGGCGCAAGGTCGTGCGCGGGGGAGGAGAGCGACCGCCGGTGCGCGGCGCCGCGGGCACCGCCTGGCGCAGTCGCGCCATCGCCTCCCCCGCGGCTGGAACCAGCAGCGCGGGGCGCGTCGAGGTGTTGCGGAAAGCGGTTGCGCGGAAGGGAGGGTTGCGCGGGGGAGTCCCGCGGAGTCAGCCCCGCGTGAGAGAGCCGCCCGCGCTTCTCCTGCTCCGGCTCCCTTCCGCCCACGTCCTCCTCCTCCCCTTCCCAATCGAGACTGTCTATACTGGAGCTATCATCCCCCACATCATCCTCGGGGCGTCCCGCAATCCCCGCCTTTCCCCCCGCCCTTCCCGCGTCTGCGCCGGTTCCACCCCTCACGTTCAGCAGCGAGGGGTTCGACGCGCTTCGGACGCAGCCCGCGGGCTCGTCGTCGTCTCCGAGATCGAACGACACGGACCGTCGATACGGCTGATCGAGCGAGCTGACAGATAGGCTAGACGATTTCACCATGATCCCGCGGGGCCGCGGGGGAAACCCGGTAGGGGGAGAAAGAGCTTTGTTCCCCGCCCCCTCATGGCCTCCGCCTCCCCCGCCGCTGCGCACGCGCGCGACAGTCCCCCCGCCGCCGATGCTGTTGACGCGGCGCGGACCTGACGCGCTGAATTCCGAGCCCGAGTGCGAGGATCGATCGCCCTTAAGGCTGCCGGTGCTGCGGACCGAGTCCTGCCGCGACACGGTATCCCAAGCCTTTTCCGCACCTCGCAGTCGTGCGGACCGCGGGGAACCCACGGATCGCGGAGAGCCGACGGACCGGGGGGAGCCCACGGCGCGCGGAGATCCCACTGCGCGCGGAGAGCCGACGGCGCGCGGGGAGCCCAATGCGCGCGGAGAGCCCATACCGCCCGCGTCCGAGTGGCGGATTGAGAGGGGGGAAAGGGATAACGGAGACGCGGAGAGCGGAGAGGCGGAAAGCGGAGAGGCGCGCGATGGCCTGGGAGGGGCTTGCTTTGGCGGTCGCCACCGGTCCGCGCGATGTTCGCTGCCCGCGCGATGGTCCCTGTGCGCGTGGTGATCGCGGTCCGCGCGATGATCGTCGTGCGCGCTCTCGGTCTCCTCTTGAAAGTCCTCCATGTCGTCGTCAGCAATCTCGAGGCGCGAGCTGCCGAGCGACGCGGAGCGGCGGTGCCACCCCTCGTGGAGGCCCTCCTTGCGCAGCGACTGCACCGCGGGCGGCGCGCGCGGAGACTCCCCCGATCTGGTGTGCTCCACAGGGGGGCCGGCATTCGCGGCGGTGGCGCCCCGCGCGCCGGGCCGCGCGAGCGGCGAGGGTGAGAGCGACGAGCGCGGCGAGCCGTGATTGGATAAACCGATGGGGGAATCCAAACGATCCATCTGACGATTGGAAAGAGAGCCGTGGTGCGATAGCCGTCGACTTGAGGGAGAATTGGACGGCTGGGATTGACGCCTGGGTGAGGATACGGCATGAGAGGGCCCGTGCTCGGTGCCCCTCTCGCCGTCCATGGTCCGGCTACAGGCAAATTAATGCTTAGGCTGAACGATGCCTAGACAAAATGAAGACTTTGAAGATTAGGGTGCTCAGGCTCAAACCTGTTCTCTTCCTCACTTGTAATGAAGACTATCCTGCTGTAATGAAGACTATCCTGCATGACCTAAAACAGCCAGTAATGGCAGCCATTGATCTACCTGGAAAACTTACTGAACTGTACTGGTACTATCTTTTGACTCAGTGGGCAAGATGTGGAATGCGGTTTCATAGGGTATAAAATGTTTTCCCTTGGTTCAGTTTGGTACTAAAACAGACTTCATTATGCTGTAACCCTGTAACGCCCCCTCTCCTCAAATTGCACACTGTACTTGTGTCCGCGCAGCTGTATTGCGCTCATTTCCCCTGCGCCTCCCGCCCGCCTCCCTTCGAGTTAGGGGCTGGACCGCCTTCCGCTGAGCCCCAAATCCCAAGGTTTGCTTGTGAAGCATTTGCTTTGCACCCCCCAGGCCAGGTTGCGCGATGGCAACTGTATCGCCGAACCAAACCTCTTGGCGAAGAGAGACATCGAGGTGTTGTCGCTTCTCCCCACCTCGGCCTTGAAGGTCACTCCCGAACCTCAGTACCGCGCCAAGCTTCAAGTTTACAAACCAGGCCGCAACCTTGTGCTAGCCTCAAGGGCAACAGGCAATGTTTCCACGCCGCGTGGTTCGCGTTTCGCACGCAGCCGCAATCGGCTCCTTTATGATGTGGCAATACATCACCGCATGGAAAACTTCAGGCAGCTTTGGGAATTCCACCCCTATTTCATTACCACCCCGAGCTTGCCTGGAAATCCCTTATTGGTTAAAAATAGTCGAACCCGAACCTCAACTGCTGCCCTGGCCACCATTCTGTTCCGCACCTCCCTCCCTCGAGCATATCCCTCGAGCACTTTTCCGAGTCCTCTGACTTGAATTTTGCTGGCTGTGGTGGTGCCTGGTACGTTGCAGCTAACTAAACTAAACTTGACTGAACGGACAGCCAAAGCAGCTTTTTGCTGCTACAGATCAACGAGAATCCAGTGCTGGATCTTCATAAAATAGCTTTCTGATTAGTCTCGTAAGTGGAAACTCCCTCGCGCAACGATTTTGGTAATGGCGAAGGCTCAGCATTCCGTCACTCTCGCGATCCTGCTCGCATCCATGGCGGCTCTGGCCATGGCGTCAGGTCGCACGCTTCTATCCAAGTCCCACACTCCTTGCCGTGACCCGAACGCCAGAGGTTTCATTGGCGGAGAGCTCGTCACGGAGCCGCGATCGCACGAGACTCTGAAGAAGTCGGATCTTCCACGGAACTTCTTCTGGGGCAATGTTAGCGGAGTGAACTATCTTACGGAGAGCAGGAACCAACACATTCCACAATACTGGTACGACAACGGTGATTTTGAAAGTGCAACTCTCGCAAGTTTTCCTTATTCTGAGGATAAGCGTATACCTGTTAGCAAAACTCGCTCATCATGACATATATTCGTTATAAATAAAACATTTATTTGTCCATTCCTCCGAGTCTCCATGTCAAACGTCTGACAATGTCCATCTGATTGTCAACAGCGGCTCGTGCTGGGCATTCGCGACCACGTCAGCAGTGTCGGACCGCATCAAGATCAAGCGCAACGCTGCATGGCCAGACATCGTGCTCTCCCCCCAGGTATCGTGCTCTCCCCCCAGGTATCGTGCTCTCCCCCCAGGTATCGTGCTCTCCCCCAGGTATCGTGCTCTCCCCCCAGGTATCGTCTCGCGTTTTGCGTTTAGCTCCTCAACTACAGCCGCTCATCTAACGTGCCTCACTCCTGGTTGTCGCTTTATCACCTGCGCTGTGTGAGCAATCCTTGTTGTCTGGCTTGCTTAGGCAATAACTCTTCTTGATACGATACACTGAGCGATCTCATTCTATCCGATCCAATCCGATCGGATCTGGCCCACGCAGGTGCTGCTGAACTGCAAGGGCGGCGGGTCGTGCAACGGCGGCGATCCATTCAGGGCGCTGCAGTACATGGCGCACCGCGGCCTGCCGCACGAGAGCTGCCAGAACTACGAGGCGGAGGACCAGGAGTGCCGCCCGCTGGGGTGAGTGTGGAGCTTCTAGGAATGAGAGTGTTGGCTTTCATTGTAGCTGTCAGAATTAGGGTGGAATTTCCAGGGTGAAAGTCTGACCTTCTCTTATCAAAAACTGAGTGGACCCGGAGCCCTATATGCGTCGCACATGCTTCCCTGTCAATGACTGTTGTTGCTCCTTGCCACCATGCATCCATGAGTCTGCTGCTCGCAGGGTGTGTGAGGACTGTGTGCCGGGAGGGGACCCCGAGCCCTTTAAACCCGGGAGTGTCCCTGTAACTGACTGTTGATGCTCCGTCCCACCATGCATCAATCTCTCCGCTGCTCGCAGAGTGTGTGAGGACTGCGTGCCTGGAGTTGACCTGAACCTACCCCCGGCACGTGCATTTCAGTCACTGATTGCTGATACCCCTTCCTTGCCACCATGCATCAATCGCTCTGCTGCTCGCAGCGTGTGTGAGGACTGCGTGCCAGGAGTGGACCCCGAGCCCTTCACGCCCGGCACGTGCTTCCCGGTTGCCAACTTCACCCTCTGGCGCGTCAAGCAGTACGGCTCAGTGCTCTCAGGTCCGTCCCCAACATTCCTCCAGCTCCACTCCATACTCTGTTTGTACTTCTCTGCGCATGGTGTGGGACGGTTTACTCCCCGTTTGGAAGCCATGTGTCCTGGTCGGTCCTTCCCACTCCTGCTTTCTTCTTTCTTTTTCCTGTTAGGTCTCTCAAAACTATGTGTTGTTCTCACTCCTGTTTTCTACGCGCAGGCTCAGACGAGGATGCTGTTGGTAACCGCATGTCCAGAGCCGACAAGCTCAAAGGTGAGAGCACCAGCTGGGTGACTCTGAGGTGATTTCTGACTCGAGAGTCGAAGGTGTGGGGAACAGCTGTGTGAGTTCAAGGGTATCAGAGCTATATCAGCTATCACAGCTACCTCTGTCTTCATTCTATTCTGGCTTTAACTCATTCTCACCTGAACCTAATCTGGTTTCGTGCGTTTTTCGCTTCCACTCATCCCGCATGTGTGCTCGGCTCGGCTGTATCATTGGGGTTGAATATCTATCTTGAACTGTGACCGTCTCGTCTCGTGCCACGTCTGTTCCCGTACTTACTTGTCCGCTAATTGCACCCTGTGTCTTAGACTACCTGTCCCTCATTTGCACCACTTTCCTGGTGCCTTCCCCTTCCTGCTTGCCCTCGCCTGCTTGCCCCTGCCTACTTGCCCCTTCTGCTTGCACCTGCCCGCTTGCCCCTGATTGCCTGCGTACCCCTACTTACCTGGCCTCTCCTTGCCTCTGCACGCAGCAGAGATCTTCAAGCGAGGCCCCATCTCGTGCGGCATGGGCGTCACAGACCTGTGCGTCGATTCAAGATTCATTGCTTGCCCCTGCCTGCCTCCCTCTGCTTGTCTGTCCTGGCCTACACCCCTCCCCCCTCCCCCCCCCCCCTCTCCCCCCACAGCGGAGATCTACAAGCGCGGCCCCATCTCGTGTGGCATGGACGTGACAGACCAGTTCGAGGCGTACACGGGCGGCATTTTCCACCAGTTTGTGCCGCTGCCGCTGCCCAATCACGAGGTGTCCCTCGTGGGGTGGGGCGTGGACGAGGCTTCGGGGCAGGAGTTCTGGATTGGCCGCAACTCCTGGGGCATGGCATGGTGCGTATGATTCTTTATAAGATGATTCTCTGTGAGACGTTTGTTTGATTTTTAGTTGGTTTGTTTGTTAATCGTTTCTCCACATGGGCGTGCCATGCACTCGTGCAACTGTACTGGATTCGTTGCAACTCGTCAGACATGGAATGGAGCATACGAGAGACAGCAGGAGGGTGCGGATTGCTGCTGCCTGTGGTATCATGGGAGCGAGTGGTGCGTGCTGGTAGTGCCTGTGCTTGCATGGCTGTGTGTTCTGTGCTGT